TAGTACCTAAATGTTTAATAATACCAAATAAAGTTTTTATTGATATGAATTAACGTATTCCTCGCAAACGAAATGTTTCTCCAAGAGTATTTTATCATAAAATCTCATAGTAATATGTATATTAAAGTGAATGTGGAGAGTTTTCTGTAAAGATGATTTGATAAACCAAGGGTATATTATAAAACAATAAGTTTGTTTGAGTTCAAACTATAAATTAATTGAAGTAACGTGGACACACCAATATACATTTCTCCGAGCATCATCTTTAATTGAGAACATTTCTAAAACGTATCAATATCATGTTTAGTTTACTCAATCAATGAGACGAGTTTAATTTAAGTACCGACCACGCTTTATCAATTGACTAACACAATATCTATATTGAAATACGTAAATAATAAATATGGTAGGTCGAATAGAAAGATTATATTATTTTGATCGAAATACTATATGATTGGTTCAAAAATAATATTTATAAAACACCTGTAGATCTAATTAAAATATTCTATTAAGTTCTAATGAAAAGAGTTTTTATTGTTGGCGATTTTTATAACTTTTTCTTTTTATTTAAATGTTGAAATACGGTGCGTATAGTCGCTAATTTGAGAATGTAATGCGGTTTGAGTGTATTAAACCTAGTTTCAGATGTAAACAATTTATCGATCTTAAAATGATGTTTTGCATTAATACAGAAGATAGCTTTTGATTTTCAGAGCTCGGCATTAAAATTTTTGTATAATATTCTTAACAATTCTTAACCCTATATTTTACGATAACTCAATAATTTTCGAATCTTAATAAATATATCTGTTCTAGAGAATTTTTTTCTAATTCCATTTTATACATATAGTAAAAATATATATCACTATTAAAAAAATATGTACAAATAGATTTAATTACTAGCGGACATTCACACAAACAAATCACCTTCAAAACATCTTCAAAATGAAGGACGTTAGTGCTTTTGTCTAGAAAAGAAAAAAGTGGCAACCCTATTGAAAAAAAAGCAGTTCACTAAATACTATTGCTTAACAGCTTAACAATACATAAGGAGACACGTAGTTACCGCCGCTTGTTATTTCTTCCTCGTCTCGATGATAAGGGAGCTCTTAATTTATAGCTGCAGGCGCAGTGTTAGCGTCTTCAGATCGTGACGAGCTGTCTATGAAGCCAATGAGATCCCCTACCACGGGTTTCATACGAATCTTTTGTTGAAAAAATGTAATATTGTTTTAATTATGTTGAAATAAGTCACGTCTATTTCATGACTTAAAAGTCCTTTGCGTTTATTCTCAGCGAAAATTTATTTCAATGTCCATAGTTTCAATTTAAACTTTACAACGCTTAAGATTATTGAGTCTGTTTGCGTATATAGAAACATAAAAATATTATTTATTATATACAGCAGAGGCAGTTCAATTTTATTAGTTATTATTTTATATGTTTTATGCTTTTCTGTCAAGCTTGTAAATTATTAAGACGTGTATAGTTGCGGCAGCAATTTAAGATATTTGTCATACAATTTTAATTCAATGAAAGTGTCGTAATTCACAAGCAAAACTTGTTTTAAGGAATTCTGTACTAGTATGTTATAGATTTTTATCTATACTGTATATTATTCATGATAATTTAGTTTCTATACTAATAAATAATATTAGTATCTTTTTGTGATATAAATATTACGGATTTTTACTTAATTCATTACACTGTAAATGCATATTGCATACTCATTATACATAATAATACATATTTTTTACAATTATCATTACTTATAAGGAGTAAATTAGATAATTACATTTTTTATTTGTTTTTTGTAAATAAAAAAAAATTGTTCAGATGAAGTAACAAAACGTTTGACATGTCATCAAACAAAATGGCGGAATGAAATGTTTTAATAAAAAACAAAAGTCAATATTAGGAACGTTGTGTTTATAGTCCGGCTTAAACGAACCTAACGAGTGCACTTAGGATTTAATGATGCTGAAATTAAAGATGCGTCTCAGTGAGCTTGGTAATGAGCTTTTTGGTAAGAGGATTTCCGTGGGCGAGCGTAATACGGCTTCGTTTTATTTCTGAGAAGTGACATACCGATAATTATACAAGTAATTGCTTGGACGCCATTACGTAAGATGCATTTGTTTTATTCAATTAAAAATTTTATGATTCTGTTTTATTTTGTGTCAAAATACTTTGTACTACTTATAAATATTTTATTATTGTATAATATCACTGAATTTTGATGATAGGTCAATGATATTAGAAACTTTAAAACATTTATTAAAAAACTCGCTGTTAGCGTAATTTCATTATAACTTTATTAAAGATAATTCTTGCTAAATTTCAAATATGATACAAAATTATACGAAAGATATAATTAATTCATATAAAATTAAGATTTATCTTCACGTTTAACTTAAATGACCACGTAAGCGATACTGCGGTGGCTGAACCCGAAGCCACTCAAACGTAATCTTTCAAAATTCGACATTACCAAAATTTTGGCCGTGAGTAATTATTGTTCACGAATTCTAAAATTAATTGAAAGAAAGTTCTGTTCCCAAAACCATTAACGAGATTTACATTTGGTAGCGTTGAAAGTTTCAAAATGGCTGATTACACCCTAATTTATAACAACCAAATGTTCCATTCGTATTCGGAAGCTATTTCCGAACAGATGCTTATATTTTTGAACTTATATTAAGACGACGATATTATTTGAATTGAAATATTTAAAAAGATATAACCCTGGATGGTTTTCATTGCATTTTTTTGTATGTTAATAATTATGAAACTTCCTTTGTCGCTGTCATTTCAACTAACTAGTTATCTTAATGCGCTGTGTAGGTAATTATAGTTAACGTGTTTATTGTTAGCGCAAATAAGAATTTCCGTTAGTGAAATTCAAATAATTGTTTGGGTGTGGCTATGTTGCGAGTTTCAAACATTTTACAAATTATACATGTTTTATAATAGTAAACAGAGAGCGTGCTTTCGTTATAAACAATAAAACAATACGGTCGTTGATCTTCATGAACTTTGTGCTAACTTTATATATATACAGGGTGACTGGTGAATTACTATCGATACTTGAGGACGTGATATTTGACGATCATATATGACAAAATAAAAATTAATATAACATAAATATTAATAAAATTCTAAGTAAAGTTAACCAAAAGTTGTGTTATTAATTACGCATCGTGTGAACACCCTACAGATTAGGTTTCTTACATAATTCGAATGAGAATCATGTACCGAGTATTCTCCTTAAATATTGATAGTAATTCACCAGTCACCCTGTATAAGACCTTTTTGCTATATTTAAAACCGATTATACACGGTATAAACTAATACCGTGTATTTTCTATCGATCGTTTTCAACCCCTATCAGTTACGTCACGCTCCGCACTCGATAAATCAAGATCACAGCACAGGCTACCTCATCTTCATTTATTTGTAATGTCAACTTACATTGTTCGACGGTGTCACTTAAATGTAATTTAAAAATATGTTCTCAAATAAGATTGCTAGTTTTTATTGGATTAAAAGTTATCCTTATATTATAAATCTATACTAATATTATAAAGCTGAAGAGTTTGTTTGTTTGTTTGTTTTTTTTTGTTTGTTTGTTTTTTTGTTTGAAAGCGCTAATCTCCGAAACTACTGTTTCGAATTGAATAATTCCTTTTGTGTTGGATAGTCCAGTTATCGAGGAAGGCTTTAGGCTATATAACATCACGCTATGACCGATAGGAGCAAAGATATAAGAAGAAAAAATAAAGAGTCGCGGCAAAAGCTAGTGAAAGTATATAAATCATACCTTCAGAGCTAATGACCCGTTTGTTTTAACTACTAATTAACGTGAATACTCATACATATTGTTGGACTGAACAATAACATCCTTCTTGCGAGAGTTCGTTGTAATATGTTATTTCTTTATTATTTTCCTACCTATTTGTATTTCCATAATTCATTTCCATTTCTATATTTTATGATACGGCTGTTTTAATACATATAATCGATTGCTACTGATTTATATTAGCACATATAACTGACGACTGTGCAGTTTTTATTGTTTTCGAAATTAAGGTCGCAGTTATATTGAAAATGTGTTCTTAAATAAAATTGGTAAAAAATATAAAATTTATATAGCGTTTCCTCAGCAATTACGTAAATTTTTAATAAATTATATCAATTTACGTTTTTGATACCAGAACTTCGTTAAACTTAAGAATATTTCATCAAAAACTATTTAGTAGTTTTTTTCATAAAATCATTGAAAATTTTAAAACCAAGCACACATCATAGGAAATTTCAACTTCATAATATTTGTAGGATTTAGTAAGATAAGATTATAACTTTATTTATTGTACAAGTGAGTCATGTTTCAGAAAAGGACTTTGAAATCTGATATAGTACTAGGAAGTTAAACCGATATCATTATTACCTGTCTATGAAACGATTGGATAGTTTGAGAATATATGTACTAGGAAATAAGCATGACAAAGACAAACATATATAAAATATTTTTATGATAAGTAATTTATACATTTAAATCGTTTTCGTTAAGTTGATATAAAAAATATCAACATTTTATAAATAAACTAAGTAAATTAATGTATAAAAAACGCTGAATTAATTCTTTATATATTGTACATATATTATTTAATTTCGATATGTACGATATTCGAATGTGAAAGCAGTTTATTTCAAACGCCCAGACCCTTACACCAATCTCGCTAAAAGCAATCCGGGGTTGCTTTTCGGATAAATCACCATAAAATGGGTCTTAGTTATATAAGGATGTAATATTATACATTAGTACAACTCCTCAACTCCCATAATATAAGTGATTTTTATTGTTTCAGATAGCACAAAATGGCGCTCGCATATATAAAGAATTTCCAAAACACCTCAAATCTTTTGATCACATGAGAACCCAATAATATATTACCAGCTTTAAATCAATTTTGATTGTTTGAAAATAAATAAGACATAAAATGAATTTTAAAATAATATCACTGCTTCTGACATGGAACCTATTGCTCATAAATGCCAAAAGAGATTCCTTGGAAGACGAAGAGTCCAGAGCAAGAGATATACGTAATAAGGAGAATAATAGAAATAGAACAAACTTCAACGGCACTTTGACTGACCTTCCTGAGAGAAGATACTTGAGACATCGTAACAGTTCCAGGTATCGCGGGGACAGACGAAGGTTTTGGGAACGGGAACAGGAATTACGAAGGGACAGACGACGTGGATCGGAACATTCCTCCGAGGAAACCTCAAATCGCACCGACCCATACAACAGAAAAGATGACAAATCCCGCAAAACAGATAAAAAGAATCCTGATAAAACTACGGAAAGAAGAAAAGCAAATCAAAGTAAAACACAGGAAAGACAACCAGTTAGAGAAAACACGACTAGATTTAAACCAAAGGTTGCCAATAAATGGCATTCTGGATATATACCGTACCCACAGCCACGGGAGAAGAAACCTAATATAATATTGATACTGACTGATGATCAGGACGTCGAGCTCGGTAGCTTGAACTTCATGCCTCGTACTATGAAGGCCATCCGAAGTGCTGGGGCTGAGTTTCGACACGCGTATACCACCACACCAATGTGCTGTCCATCGAGGTATGAGAATACTTAATCTTATAGTTACAATCGATTATTGATATCGATTCTTAATTCCGTTCCAAAAACAATGGGTAGTGTAATTTATACAGGGTGACTGGTGAATTACTATCAATATTTAAGGAGAATACTCGGTACATGATTCTCATTCGAATTATGTAAAAAAATAGGCACTTAATTTTTGACAAAATTTCCGTATAAATAAGTAAAGTGTTGACACGTTCCAAGTGTTCAAGTGTGGACGCGTGCGGCGGCGTGCTGATACAACACTACGTCACGACACGCGTATGTGTGAGTGTCAGTGTATACCTAATCTGTAGGGTGTTCACACGATGCGTCATTAATTACATAACTTTTGGTTAACTTTACTTAGAAGTTTATTAATATTTATGTTATATTAATTTTTATTTCGTCATATATGATCGTCAAATATCACGTCCTCAAATATCGATAGTAATTCACCAGTCACCCTGTATATCGATTATTAATAGTTATAATTGTTTGTAATATCAGTTGCGATTAATTATCTCTATACCGGATGCCACTATCGATTATTCTGAAGCAAGATTACCCGCTTTGGCTCGTTATTAGAGAATAGGTCAACGATTCCGCTTATCAACTTGGTTTACTAAATAGGCATTGTGTTAGCTGGGTGTAGCAAAAGGTTGACATTGATACCATTATTACATCCTATCAATTGATCTGAATGCTTTTATTTATCGAATTCACAATTAACAAGTAACGATTGTCATAAATTTATTTTGAATTATAAGCTATCTTTTTATATAATACTAGCTTTCCGCCCGCGGAGAGTTCGGTTATATCGCGTTTCTAAAAGAACCTTTCAAAAGTCTCGGATAAAAACTATTCTATATTCTTTCTCAAGGTCAACTCTATATCTGTATAAAATTTCATTAAAATCATTTCAGTGGTTTAGGCGTGAAAGCGTAACATACAGACAGACAGACAGAGTTACTTTCGCATTTATAATATTAGTAGGGATAAGAATTGTTCATTACAATCAGATCAAACTTCTTTTCGACTTAACTAGAACAGTTTTTATTCCCAAGGCTTAAGATTATATTCGTTAATAAACCTTTGTAATGAAGTTTTAAGTACTGCTTCAATTCCCAGGAGTTCCTTGCTGACCGGAGTGTACGTACACAATCACAACGTGTACACAAACAACGACAACTGTTCGTCTCCGATGTGGCAGGCTAAGCATGAGACCAACACCTTCGCTACTTACCTCTCAAACGCTGGATATCGCACGGGTAAGTGGATACAATGATAGAAATATATTCAGAATATATTCCCTGATATAAGAGAATGAATTCTTAAATAATACTTTACTGTTTCAATGGAATTTTGTTTACAAAGTGATTGAAAGGGACATTCTTTTAAACAGCATCTGCTTGTATTAGGAGTTAGGATGCCATTTTCTTCCATTAGATTTAACAATACTTTTGAAACTACTTATATGTAAACTTTCTTAAATATTATAGTTTACATTAGTACTAATTAAAATTACATATACGTTTATTGTATATACCAAACATACTGATCAAAAATTGAAGTTGAAAATAATTTATAATATTTTAACTACTATTTTGTATTGATATTATTTATATGAAAGTTTTAAGAGTTTTGTGTGTGTGTGTTTGCGTGTAAGTCGTATAAGTGTGTGTGTATGTGAAAAATAATTAATATTTCTTATATAAATCAGCTTTAAATTAATGCTGAAGTCCTGGTTCGCCTTCAATATTATTTGATTTGAATTATGAAAGGGAAGCAGAATGTTGATTTTCTTTTGTTTGTTTTGAAATTTTCTTTGGGGTTGTCCATTAATCACGTGATCTTTTTTTAGCATTTTTTAACCCTCCCGCCTCCATTGGTGATACGTAGTGAGGTTTAAGACCACCCCCCCTCCGCCTTCTCAACATCACGTGTATTTTTAGTACCTACAACGAATCTTAAAATTTTCTGGATATTATCTTAATTTAAATACAGGTATAAACTATAATCTTATTTTATTTTGAAATTAAGGACCATAATAAAAATGTCTACACCAGGTTGCAAGTTTTTTTTATTGCCATAACAATAATAATAAACGAAGAGTGTAATCAAAAATTGCGCGTTAGACAAAAAAATAAATACACGAGATATCTTACTACACCCCCCTCCCCCTTGTGTTATTTTCGTGATTTTTATCAAACCCCTCCCCCCCCTTTCAAGCCTCACGTGATTAATGGACAGCCCCTTTGAATACGCTTTCCGTTCAACTAAAATTGTTATAATAAAAAAAACATATGTATATCTAACTGTTTCTTTGCTGATGAGATTCCTATATTCTAATATCGAAAATCAGCTTACTTAGTGCCTATAAAATATTTTTACATTAAATCGAATATTTTAAATAACATAATTAAATATTAGTACGGAATAGTGAAAGTCAAGTTAAGTTTACGTAAGTAGTAGTTTCACAGACACTTAAATTAAATTTTATAATCGTTGATACATGCTGTACCTTTCCCTCGTCGTAAAACACACATACATAGTCATGACCTTTAACATATTCACGAGAGAACTGTTCAGAGACTGTACTTAATTTCAACGTTTAATTCCTCCCTTGATCTCTATGTTGTATCAATTTCTAAACAAACAAGCGAATTATTGAATATCTTCGTTAGATTAATAAAAATACACGTAGTTACTGTCCGTATGATATAAGAGGTAATGTAAGTGTTTGTTTTGTCATAAATTACGTTTACGATAACTAGAGGAATTTAAAAAACTAAAGTTTCGTATTTTTAAAACTAATAGTTACTACTGAAACTTAGTAAGCAACAATAGTGGTCGACGCTAGATCTCTATTGACACAAGAACACTCTTAATGATTGAATTTTTATATATATCAATTCTGCAGTACTGATACTATGCAGTAGTTAGGGTTGCTTGTGCATCGGAGACTTAGTGGCTCAAAATCGTCAGCGATTGCCCAATAGGTACCTATTGCATGTAATGTGCTAAGTATTTCTGGGATCGCAGTATCAGCAGTTGCCCAATGGTTTAAGATACAACATATATACACAAGATTTTAAAAATGACAGTTTATTTCGCTTAAAACAATTTGGTACTGATAAAAAATATATAAATTGTGTTTTCTTTTTGTTGTCTATAAAATGTACTGTTTGGTATAATCTGTGAGACGTATAAAGCACAATCTGTAGCAATAACAACTATGTACTTATGAATCAGTGCCAATAATTTTTATAAAGGCCAAGTATCATAGCGAAGATAAATGACTATGATTTATACCTTTTAAATTGGTACAATTTTTTTGATCACACTTGGCAAATGTCATATGTGGTCTCGATATAATGTTTTAAGGTAATAGATTAATTCTAAGTGACCAATCTTTGTAAGTGATTAAACAGTATTTTAAACTGATGCCATGATCTATATAGTTTCGTACTAACTCATTATATGTATCGTTTTTAAAGCATATATCACAAAGAAATAGAATTGCTTCATTGTGAAAATTAGTCATTAAACCTAAACCAATAAAAGTATAATGGATAAGTAATATATTTAAAATAATTTAAAGACACATTGTTATATGTTATAATGATATAGTTGTTTTATAATCACATCTAGTACGTGACAATTAGAACGTTTAAAACTCTTGTGTAGCGTAAAGAATCCGCGGACAAAACTTCGTTTGTTTTCTTGATGTGGATATTATATAATACTTATAATAAATCAATCAAGTTTATTGGTTTATTTAAACCCTATTAAAATAAACAATTCATTGTCCTTCCCACAGTGAACTGATAATTCTAACTAATATAATAAAATAAAATATTACATAAATGGCATAAATTTTTTAAGTTTTAATATTGTTATGTACAAAAAATTCTTCAATATATTTAGTAAGTTATCGGAGTTGATGTTTTATTACGATTTTTTAATACCGATGCCTAAATAATTACGTATTTGGATTTAAACTGAAGGATAACTATAAAAAGTATCATTCTCAAGTGTTAGTTAATAAAACAAAGTTTTTTTAAATCAGCAAAAATCTAGTTTTTTTTACATGAAACCTTTCACTAAATTCAGTAATTTTAAATTTTAACTAAGAAACTTGTCTGTTTAAATAATTAAAATTTAAATTCAGACAGCGAGCTCTAGCTAAAATAAAAACGAAATATGAAATGATTTTAAATCCAGTTTAGGATTATAAAAAATAATGCAAAGAAAAACTAGTCTGCCAAAAACAACGTATTACTAGGTTTGAATTAAATTCTCGTACTATATTCCAATAATATTCTGGAGACAGGTGTAGAAGAAGAATAATCTCCTAGGGCATTGCACGTTCATCCTACGAACCCGTAGTTTAATGACGCTGTAACTCTGGCAATGTCAACTGACTCATTCTTATTAGTATGTTTAAAAGTATATTCATTTATGACACAATAAATAATATCTATAAGCTCTAATACGAAAATATCTTTGACATAAGTCGAGATAATACTGGTAAATATAACATATATAGGAATTAGAAACTTAGATATACAGTTTTGGGAGTTAAGTTTTTTAAGAATATACTATACTTCTTCTACCTGGCAATTTCGCAGCTTTTAGCTATGGTGTGCCTTACGTGTTGTGAATAGTTTTGGCTAATTTGGGAATGCATTAATCAGTGATATCTAAATACACTTAGATAGTACTTTAGTTAAGAATACCCATATTATACATAACGTGGTTAATAACGAAAGTATTGTTTGCATAGTCCACGCTCGTCAGCATTTATCTTATCTTTTCGCAGTGCAAAGTCATAAGTTAGAACCGATATACGGTAGAGAAGAGTAATCGTGTGACATCTACGATTCGTTCTTAATATGTTATAGGAGCTAGCGTGGGCGCACGTGGGCTGCCGGACGTCGACTATTTCATCGCATCACACTCGACTTACCGTCACGTATACATAAAATAATATAGAAATGTCCTTGTATGTATTTGGGGAGGGCAGAGCATCCGGCGAAGACGCCAGCACTGATTCGAACAGGACGGAAAACGGCGTTTGCGAATGACACATTCTCGTCTACTATGACGTGCGTGCACACTAGCTGCATACCAGGACATTTGGACCATGACCTATCTGGCTATATATTAAAAAAAATATAAGAAATGTATTATTCTATACATAGAAAGAGAAATATCACGGCTCTTCCAGTACGTTTAAATTACATTTAGTGAGTTTATCGTCTGTTCAATTGTTTGAATCCCATGCGACGACACGGCACGTGTCAGCGATTTATCACTTTGTCGTTAAAGAGTCTATTTAGCTTGTAAATTTATGCTTTAAACGGGCTATCATAAATTCGCCCGGTGCTTTCCTTCCGTGATGTGGGCGAAGGGCCCGCCCACCGTTGAGAGATTCTTCGATTTAATCACATAGATTGCAGCTTCCGTTGAATTCGAGAGATGAAAGGAGCGTGGGTTACATAGCCAGTTTCTAACATCTTATCTCGTAAGATAACAGCTGTTATTAGGCAAATTGTTACGGCGAAGTCAACATTGAACATTTGAAATTACTTCTAATTAAGTTTAATTAAATCTAATGAGAGTGTTCAGTAGAATGTAATTTATTCAATACTACCTACATTACATTTGTTCTTACGGGTTTTAAAACAACGATTTCTGTTCTATAAACCCAAAGTATTTGAGATTGTTAAATGTTTGAGTAATACAAAATAAACTAAACTAATTTTATTCTTATCGTTTCGCGGAATCAATTTTAAAATAGGTATTTAAAATTACAAATACAAAGATGTCTTATATCAGAAGCTAAAAGTTTACAGATGATTCACACGAGTAACACAGCCGCTAATTCCAACAGAAACGTATAAATGCGATTCGCTTAAATCGCATTATGTCTTTAATTATCTAAAGGCTGTTAGCCCGGTGTTAAACGCAATACAACGCACCTCCCATTATACTACAAGCGACTCATTTTGAGGTCGGTTTAACGCTGTTTCATCAAATTTAATATTTTAACACAATGTTGCATTAGTTTCGTCATACACTAAAGCATTTTGATCCTTCGCGGACTTGTACAGAGTAAACAAAGATTTAAGTATCCGTTAACAGTTAGGCATAGTATACAAAATACATTGTCTGTCATTCTACACAGATAATATATTTAACAATCTGTGGCTATTTGCAATGCATATTTGTTTTATCGGTTCGGTTTCTAAGAAAATTAGCATATAGTGTTAAATAATTATATAATTGTAATAATTTATGTCAAATTTTAGGTCAATTTATTATTAAAATAAACGAGACACGAATGTTGTACACGATTCATGGTAACCATTCCATATCTATTACCGCACGTTTGATCAAGATCTGGTTTTGATTTCAAACAT